CCCGGCCCTGCTCTTCTTTTTTAGAAGCTTGAGGTGCAGCACTATGGTATTTAGGTGTTCTCACTCTGTTTTCCTAATATGTGAATTCACTGCTATAAATTTCCCTCTGAGAATTTCTTTCATTGCATCTCAATGAAAAAGATTTGGCTATGAGTAAGTTGTATTTGAGTTTTCATTGGATTGTAGATATTGTTTAATTTCTTCTGTAACTTTTGTTTGGGGAGAAGGGTGTTATTTAATTTCCACACATTTATGGGGGTTTTGTGGGGTATTTTGTCATAATTTCCAGCCTAATTGCACTGTGATCAGATAATATGCATGGGATAATTTTGGTCTTTTTACATATACTTAAATGTCCATGATTGATGGACTAGTATGTGGTCTATTTTAGAAAATGTACCATGTGTAGCTGAAAAAAATGTTTTTGGGTGGAACACTGTGCATATGTCTACTAAATTCATTTGTTCAAAGTTGTTCTTTTTTTTTTTTTTTTTTTTTTTTTTTTTGTGGTACTGGGGATTGAACTCAGGATTCTGCGCTTGCCAGACAAGTGTTTATTCTATTGAGCTATCTCCTAGGCAATAAAATAAAATAAAATAAAATAAAGGTTTGGTTCAGTTCTATTACCTCTTTGCTATTTGTTTGTCGTTTGGCCTATCTTTTTAAAATAAGGGAATGTTGAGTTATCTCGTTAAGATTATGATATTGGTTATTAGATTTTTCTTTTTTAATTTTTGCATTTGGTACAGGGGGCATGCGAGCATGGTATGTGGTGCTGAGGATCAAACCCAGTCCCTGCACTTGTCTAAGCAGGCACTTAGTCCTCTGAGCTATCTCCCCAGTGCTGGTCACTAGATTTTTCATGTCTTTTAAAATTTACCTTATGTAGTTAGGTGCACCCATATTTGGTGCATACATATTTATGACTCTTATCTCTTCCTCTTGAATTTTTCCCCTAATCAGTGTATGTTGATATTTTTTATCTCCTATGATCATTTTGTGTTTCAACCACTAGATTATGATATCCCTTGACTTGTCTTTCTTGCCTGGAATTGCTTTTGCAATTCTAGATCTGTTCTGGTTCTAAATGAATTTTATGAATGTTTACTCTAGATCTGTGGTGTATGTTGATGGTACTTTGATTGGCCTGCGTTAAATCTGCACAGCAGTTTTGGGAGAAGGACTATTTTTCACTATGTTGGTTCTTCTTATCCAGGAGCAAAGAATATCTTTCTACTTTCTGAAGGTCCCTTCAGTCTCCTTTTTTAGGATCCTGTAATTTTCACTGTACAAACATTTTACATCCTCTATTACATTAATTCCTATTTCACTATTTGGAGTTATAATGAAGGGCGTGCTCTCCTATTTCTTTCTCTACAAGTCTGCTACTTGTGTAGAGGAATGCTATTGACTTTAGTGTCCACTGTGTATCCAGCTATACTACTGAATTTGGATATCAAATCTACAAGTATTTTGGTGGAGTTTTGGGGGTCTTCTATGTAGAATATCCTGTCATTTGCAATAGTAATAATTTAATTTCTTCTTTTCCTGTCTTGAGTCCTTTTATTATTTTTTTTCTATTGTCTAATTGGCTGTTTCAAGAATTGGATTGGATCATAGTGGTGATAGTGGAGTTCCTTGTCTTGTATCTGATTTTAGAATGCAAGCTTTCAGTTACTGGTCATTTAATATAATACTAGCTGCTTATTTTTGCTAAATTGGTGACTTTTTTTTTTTTTTTTTCGGAACCGGGTGCTTATTTTTATATTACAAAGCTACTGTGATAAAATCAGCATGGTACTGACAAAAACCACAGCAAACCTGTGGGTCAGTGGGACAGAATAAAAGATGCAGTCACATCCCCAGGTGTACTCGTCCACCTGATCTTCACCAAGGAGCCCAACATCCTCACTGGAAGACAGACAGCAGCTTTAAAGTAAATGGTGCTGAACAAGCTGGCTCTTCACATGCCCAAGAATGAAACTGGATCCATGTCTGTCACCATGCACTAAATTCAAAATGGGGATCAAAAATCAAAATATTAAAATAGAAGCATTAAATTTACTGGAAGGAAAAATAGGCAGAGATTTCAAAGATATAGATGTAGGCAGAGATTACAAAAAACCCCCAAAAAACCCAAACAGAATGGGAAAAAATTATGTCAGTGTTCCCTCAGACAAAGGACTTATATCTAGGATATATAAAGAATTGAAAAAAAATCAGACCCCCACATTCAGAGACCCAATCCACGAATGGAAATCTGAGATGAATACACACTTCTCAAAGACATATGAATGGCAAATAAATACATGAAAAAATGTTTAACATCATTGGTCATTCTGGAAATGCAAATTTAAGCAACACTGGGATTCTACCTCACCCCAGAAAGATAGCTGTCATTAAAAAAAAAAAAAATCAACTGATGACAAATACTGGGGGAAAAGGATTCTCTGTTCATGTGAATGTGGATGTAGGCTGCTGCAACCACTGTGGAAATCAGTGTGGAGAGTCTTTAAAAAAACTAGGATTAGAGGTCTCATTCAACCCAGATATTCCCCTTCTGGGTAGCTTCTCAGAAGAATTAAAAAGATCATAGCACATTGATGTATGTGCACCTGTGTTTATAGCTGTATCTTTTGGGTAACTAAATCTTGCAAATCTGAGATATCCTTAAATAGAGGAATGAATAAAAACTTTTTTATGTAATAGAGTACTACTCTGCTTTAAAGAAAGATAAACTGGAAACCTTCATAGGTAAATGGATGCAACTCAAGACTATACTCAAAAGTGAAACAAATCAGACCCACATGAGTAAATATCCTGTTGTTTCAGTAGTGTGAGAAACTGAGTAAGAAGGTGGAAACCAGAGTGTGCAATAGATAGGCTAGAACTGGGAAGAAACCATTAAAAAGAAAAGACAAACTGTGATGCGGAAAGGAGAAAGGAAGAAAGGGAAAAGGAAGCAAACAGTATGTTTACACAAAACAGTTAAGATGGTTATGTAGCTCACTTCTATTAGTTTCATGAAAAGAATGCTTTGTGCGTATATTGTTTAGACAAGATACCATGCCTCTGTCTTGTACTGTGATTAACTATTGTGAAAACAACAATACTCAATGCAAACATTATTGCAACTGTCATACTAAACAGTTCTGAAAATCAGTTTCATGGTTTGTTTGTCTTTTTTCTCTAAAATAAAAAGAACTCAAAACTTACAGTATTATGGAGAAATTTCATTTATTAAGAAGATCCCTAGCCTCTTGTGCTAGTCCCGTCCCCAGGGCACGCTGAGACGCAGCTGAGACTAGGCATGGTGGCGCGCTGGGAGGCTGAATACAGGAGGATCACTACGAGTCCGATCTATGTAGTGAGACCCTGTAGACCCTGTCCTAAAATACAAAAAAAGAAAAAGAAGAAAATCAATATTTTTATGTAAGAGAATTTCTTCTATACATAAAGTTCTCAACACTAAAGCTTTGTGTCTTCCTTTAAATTTTTATTTTTTTCTATACTGTTACATAAAACCAAATAAATAAAACTTCTCACACTGCCCATATTAAAAAAATTCAACCACTGTTAAGTACTTCTCAATCTGTAACATTTTAAGTAAAACTTTTATTTATTTTTTATTTATTTTGTGTGTGTGTGTGTGTGTGTGTGTGTGTGTGTGTGTAGTTAGCTCAGCCCACGGGGGGGCGGGGCTGGCTGGCATGTCGTGCTGGGGGATTGAACTGCGGTCCCTGTGCTTTGTTAAGCTTGTTCTAAGAAGGTGCTTTAGACCACTGAGCCATCTCACCAGTCCAAGTAAAACTTTTAAAAGTGATATATTTTGTAGATACTCACAGTGCATCCATGACATAAAGGAAATTAGTGACCTCAGAGGCAAAAGCCAAAGCTCCCCAAACACAAACGACGGACTCTTGGCTTTATTCATATACTACGTAGTGCATTAAAATCTTTTCAAACATATAAACCGGTTCTGAACCGATCCCGTCTCTTGCTATGTGCCTAGGCAGATTGCCTTCTATATCAGAAGGTAGGATAGCACCAGGGGCAGCAGCACGTCGACTCTACCCTGCAGTACTTAGGAGGCCGCTCTGAGCCTCAGCTTGCTCCTCCACGCAGGGGCGAGGGTGATGCGCAGATGCGCTTGCGCGTGCGCTCCGCTGCACTGGCATACTTCACCAGACCTGGCAACCACAGGATAATAGTTTTTCATTTGTTCTAATAATTGTAATTTTAATGTTAAAGATAATTATAATTGTTATTACCATTGTTTGCATTTCACTGTTCTTATCAGCCGAATGAGCAGCGCATATATCACCTTCCTCCCATGAACACTGTATTTTACTATTTTATTTGAACATGTCCCTGAGTAGAGAAATCGCCATACTTTTAAGTCTTACTGTTAGGTGAAAGCAATCAAGTTTGATGCTTAACATCATCATTGCCAATTTACAGTAATTAGTTTTCATCTTTGAATAAAAGAGCAATTGCTGTGTGGTGTTCGTAGGTTTGTTACTTTTCCGAAATTGTCTTTCTGTTAACTACTATCAGAATTTTGATATTTCTTCAGTAATTCCAGTTCACTATTGATAGTTACTGAGTCACAGGGATAATCACATGGCTGTATCCTTTTTCTCCTCATATCCAATTCCTTTTCTTATTCTGAGCAGAGTGACTTAAATCAGACTTTAGTTGACAGATGGTATAGTATGCCTGATATTTATGTTGCCTTTTTTTTTCTACTAGGAAGTGTAAAGATTTGTAAAACTTGTAAAGATTAAAAAGATTATTTTTAGGTTATTTGTTGATTTATGTGAGAAACTTAAAGTAGGAAGTAGCTCAGGATTTTTTTGTCCACTGCATTAATATGTGACAAATGCACTGATTTGAATCTTGTACTTTTCCCCCCTCTAACTGAATTGTGTATGTTTAACAGACCAGACTGCTCAACTTGATACTATCCTGCAAGCAATCCTGTTTTCCTTCCATTTCAGTTTAGGCTTGGTTCCTTCGACTTACAGAAAGCTGAGAACCCAGCTGAGGTCATTAGAGAACTTCTTTGTTACTGTTTGGACAGCATCGCAGAAAACAAAGCCCAAAGTGAGCAACTACAGAGAGAAAATGAAAGACTCCTGAGAGACTGGAATGATGTTGAGAGCCGGTGCGTACCTGTGTGCTCACGGGGCGAGAGCCCCAGCGCGCTCTGTACCGTGTGGGCCCAAGGCAGTGATTTCTATGTGTGTCATACCCGCAGGCTGTTACTATTCGTACCTTTCTTTTTTTAAAGTTTTTTTGTGTGTGTGTGTGTGTGTGGGTGTGCAGGGTCTCACTATGGAGCTCAGACTAATAGTGATCCTCCTGATTTCTGCTTCCCTGGTGCTGGGATTAGTTACAGGCATGGGCCACCATGCCCAGACTCCATCGCTGGCTCACGTGCCCCAGGATGGGCCAGGGTGGCATGCAGTGCCGGGGATCAAACCCTGGCCCCTGTGCTTACTTAAGCAAGCACTTAGTCTAATGAGTTATATCACTGGCCCTTCTTTTTAAAAATGTATTTGGTACATGGCCTCAGTACACAGCTCGGGACTCATGATAATCCTCCTGTTTTCAGCCTCCCCAGCATAGGGATTACAGGCGTGTGCCACCATGCCCAGTTTTGGTGGCCAGCTCACTGCGCCCAGGTGCTGGGGATCAGACCCTAGTCCATGTGCTTGCTTAAGCAGGCACTGGGTCCGCTGAGCTATCTCACTGGGCCTTATACCTTTCTTGATATTGTTAGACCAAGTGACTATTGGACATGATAAGAGTATATTAGCAATTTTGGATCACTTAGTATTTTGGTAGCACTAACAGGTTTATGAACAGTAAGAAACTATTCTTAAGGATCTAAACCCATTATTGTAATATTAATAAAAAATAAAGTGGTAAGGTTTGGCCCATAAATGATGTGCACAGTGGTAGGTACTTAGCATATATGCTGCCCATGAAACACTGATTTCTATTTTGGAATCGAAGAATGGCAACTGTATCAGTTGATATTTACTTTAGCTTTAAGAAGAGATTTTCCTGATTGATTGTTAGTTCATACTGTAAGCACTTGTAAAAGATAAAATAATTGTGGCCACTGAATAAAACTATTTTCCTGGCTTTTGCCTCTCATTTTTAAGTGATGAAGAAAAACAGTGCTCCATAGCTTCTCCAAAATGAACTTTCTCAGTCCATTCTCACAGTTGGCTTAGTGTATAATTTGCATTGTTTTATTATGGAAAAGATAGTTGAAGGAAATAAAAAAATACATTGAGAACTTATATCCCAACAGAGACCATGTGATATGCTCATGTCTGTGTGTGTGTGGAATGCTTGATAAATTTATGTGGCATGTGTAATGACGACTACAACCGGTCGACTTCCCTGTTCATCGGTTTGCTCTCACACATAAGAACATATATCTTATTTAAAGTCTTTGTGTGGTGGGCGTTGTGACTGCTCTCAATATAGGACACTAATAAGGTAACTGGTGAGACAAAGCAAAGGGCTTTCTAGCAGTTCATGTGTGTGTCACAATGGGAGGAAGGGATTATTTTTCTGTACATTCAGTAATATTCAGTAATAGTGCAAACCATGTAAAATTCACTTACTAATATTTCGCTATATTTAGTTTTCATTTATTTTTTGAAGGAAGCATTTATATTGTCTGTTAGCTCTAAATTAACCTTATCCCCAATTATGTGTAGCAATATGTAAATGATACCAGAACGAGCCCCCTTCAAAGTCTGTATATTATGACGCCATGTAGAAATGAAATTTTTCCCTTTATCTTTTGTGATGCGAATTTGGATGAAATGTGTGTGCTACAAAGCATTTTTCAGGTTTATATCTATAGTTTGGGTGTGCTTTTCTATTTTATATATGAAATGAATCAAATTAAAAGAGATGCACTGTGGTCATGATAAGCCATCATATTTTTATATTTAAAACTCAAAAGTATGTGGGTACAAGGAGATCTGACCCATGAATTTCCCACAGAAATGCAGACTGGGTACTCCGTACTTGAGCAAATTGCTTTCAAATGTCTGCCAGAGGTTGAAAGAGCTATTGTCTCATCAGTATTCAGCACCGCTGCCCTGGAATTGAAGGACAGGCCGAGAGACAGTCGCACCCTGTGCTGTGAAGCAGCATCTGTGTGGGGCGCATGAATTATGTGGAGCACAGATGTTTGATTTGCTCTTTCTGAACTGCCCAGAAAACGCTTTTGTCTCACTGTGGCTTGGGATTTCCTGTGAGGTCCAAGCACAGCATGTCCCCTGTCGCTTACCTTACTGTGCTGCTGCAGCCGTCTTTGGTGCTGGCTCAGATGCTTCTGTGTGTGACATTGAGGTGAAGCTGCAGGAGGAGCAGAGTCCACTCCAGCATGCCAGGATTTTGCTTGTTCGATTAGTGCTTTTATGCATTCCCAAATGTGCTTTGCTGTCCTCAGCGAATGGAGAGTGGCCACATTAAGGAGTTGTGAATGTGTCTTTGTCTTGTCTTGGCCAAACGGGACTCTCCTTAGGTCCCCTCCCCAGGGTCTTACTGTCCTGGAAAATGAGCAAAGTATGTGCAGCTCCAGTTTCTATAGAGCAGTAGTATTGGCAAAGTGTTTAGAGCAGTCGTGGCGAATCATTTAGAGACCGAGTGCCTGAACTGCAACCCAAATGCAAAATGCCACACTGCGATTAGACCTGAGTGCTTGGCTGCTGGTGTGATGCTGGGATGCCCTGGCTAGTGTGCCAACAGAGGGGACTCTGTGTGCCCACTGTGGAACGCATGCATAGACTTGCCACTGCTGTTCTAGAGAATTTAGAAGTAGGATGTGTGTGTACTGAATTGGGTAACTGGGGACATAGAAGCCTGAGGAGTGTTAGGTACGGAGCCGTGGTGTGAAGCCCAACCCCAGGCTTGTTTTCCAGGTGGACTGCTTTTCTATGGGTGTCTCGCTGTGATCAGCCACTTCTTGCCAAAAGTATTTCATGAAGTTCCACGAACTATATGTGAAGGCAAGGTGGTGTGGCAGAGGGAAGGAAGGACACAAGGGTAGGATTCCCTGAGAGCTACAGCTCTGGCATATATTTGATGCCAAATGCTCTATAATACTAATAAAGATTATTCACGAATGCATGCACTCATTAACACTGAAATGTTCACAATCTATTAAAGCTCAGAATGTGCATTACCAAAAATGTGATTGTTACCCCATTGTTTACAAAAAAAGAGAGCATCTAGCAGGAGAAGCTGAAGTAAAATACTGTATGTAGTATATTTCCAGAGTTGTGGACATTTTTTTCCTTTACGTTCTGTGACCTTTTTTTGCATGTATTTTGGTATTTGAATGTGGATTACTGTTTTGATCACAGCCAACTAGAAAGACATTTCCATTTGGAATGATATAAACATGGCTTGAATGAGGATGAGAAATTATAGGTATAGTAAATAGTGGGCTCTGATGTGTAGAGCTTCACGTGTATATTTGCTATTAGTTGTAATTAGTTGCTGTTTAGTAATTGTGGTTTTGCTCCATTTTGCACAAGTGACAGTACTGGATTAATACTGTGCAATTTTAAACAAAGCAAGAGACATTAGAGAACTCGTATACGAATAGCCAGGTTATTAGCTATATTTATTTCACTGGGTTTTCCTACTTAATTTCAAATAACAGCTCTCAAGTTGCATGTTGCTGAATAGGTCTTTTGTTTGCTCTCAGACATCAATTTAGAAATTCTCTGGCTTTATTCTGAGTTATAGTTATTAGACCCATAATTGGAGGCAGTTTTCAGTGCATTGAGTTGACACTCATGGAATCATTAGAAGACCTTGAAAAGCTCTTTCACTTTGTCTTTCGGCTTTCTAGATGGAATCATATTATCTCCAGATGAATTCAGTTTGATTTTTTAAAGAACCCAAGAGATAGCGTCATGTTTCCTTATAGCCCTTCACAGTGTCATAGAGCAGCCGCAGCCAGAAAGCCCCCCTTCCATCTTTTGGTAATCAGAATCCTTCATGGCATAGTTGAAGGCCATTTCCTCTTGTTCTGTCATCAGAAAGGATGAGGAACAGCTGTTCACCATCTTGTCCGTGGCTTAAAGCCTTATTAAATCTTCACCACTGCTTGCTTGTCCAGTTCTTTCTGACATCCTTTGGCTTCTCAATTCTGCCCAGATTTTCTTCTGCTGTACGACCCTGACCTAGATATGAATTTGGCTAGGAGGGATTATTAATATCATGATTACTATACTGTTTTTTGTAACACATGTTCACATTTATGAATCTTTTATTTTCAGCTTTCATTTAACGTGTCATTTTATTTGGGATTTTATTTCTGCATGATATTCCTGTGTCTTCACTCTATTTTCTTACTGATTTTGAAGTGTTTCTTGATGGTTTTGTCACCCTGAAATATTTTATTAATATCAATTACTTTTCTCTACTTATTTTTTTCACTTAATTTTTCTAGTTTTCTCTACTTTTAGAAGTCGTTATTTTTGGCTGAGGTTCTTGGTACCTCACTGCTAAGGTTACTGAATGAACCATTACAGTAGTGAGTGAGGAAAGCGTGAAGTGTCACCAGGCCTTTCCTGCTTGGTATCATTTATGGCTTTATCCAGTTTGAGTCTCCTCATGGAGATGCTGTGGTCTGCTCTAGGTGTATGTGGGCTTCCTCTTGGTGTCACTAGACATAGCCCTGAGTGCTCTGTCTCCCCAAGTGCAGGTTCTCACCTAATAATTCCTCCCCAAACCTTGAGGCACAGGGTTTGCAGGAAGGCAAGTTAGCACCTAATGTTACAGAAAAGACTGGCACTAGACAAGGTGGGGCAGATTCTGTGCGTGTCCCAGTGACTGGATATTGAATATGTGCCATTCTCGAAATCTGTTGAGAGTGTGATGGTAAATTCATGTTCTGTGACTATTTATACTTTTATTTTATCTTAGCCAGCTGCCACCAACTTTTCTGGGAAGGTTTGTCCAGTTTGGTGATTATAAGTTTGATTGCAAAAAGACTTTAAAGATTTGCTGAAACCAGCCACACTTAACTCACATGATATTTAATTTGCTCTTTTACTTTTCTTACCTGTCACAGAAATGATGGTATCTTTGATGATATAGTTCTGACACTGGTAATTAGGTTAACAAAATATTTTATGTGAATTATATGAGATTTTATTTTGATATTTTAAGTGTTAATATATTGTAAAATGCTAACTTTAACAGTTTTAAGGATGAGCTTGATATTTGATATGTATATATAATCTTTTAATCGAGAATTTTTGAAATGATTTATATGGAAATTAAATATGGATTTAATTATAAATTACTAATTAGTTGCCATTTCTAAAAAGTTATTTAAGATGGCATAATATACAAGATTTTTATTGTATATTTTATGTGTGTATGTTCTATTCACACATTAAAATCTGTACCATGTTAGAAAATAGTGCACAAAGATGAAAGCATGCTTACGTAATGCTTTGTATCTGACCATAGATGCGGTTACCTTTCCCTGCTCAAAATGAGCGCCAGCCTTAGCAGCGCTGCTTCATTTTTGGATCTATTTTTTCCCAAATTTTCTGATGTAGTCTTTTTTTCAGAGAACACTGCTTGATGAAAGAAATACTGTTATGTTGACAATTTTTCTAGCAAAATTTTAGAAAAGCCAATGGAGATGAAATTTATTGCTAAACTGATGAGTAGTATGAAGTGGATAGAAAACACAGCCAGTCATGTGGGGTGTGATGATGTTTCGGGCATCAGCAGGTGCAGTGCACAGCGGCGAGAGGGTCCCTGCAGCCCAGCGATGCAGCTCTCCGAGCGTGGAGAGGCGCTGCATTCATAGCACACCGGTGGTGTGTTTACACATGTGTGACTTGCTCCCAGTGTAAGCAAACCTACTATGTGGCCAGTTGCTTAAATATAGCACAATCCTGTATGGCAAGCACATAGTATTTGATAACAATGATAAACAAGTGAGCTGCTAGCTTATTTACTCCACTGTACTTTTTATTATTTAAAGTATCCTTTTCCTGCTTGCTTAATCAAAAAGGTTCCATAGATCAGTATTCTGTGAGACACCAGCAGTGTGCTCATGTGCCTCAAGTTTAGTGTGGTGGTGAACCTTTTAAACACTCAATGAAAAGAAACAGCCAGCTACGGCACATGCGCCATAGGTTAGCCACCAATAACTATTCCCACTAGATTTGTGTACATATACTCCATGTGGTGGTTGTACAAAACCCAAATTACCAAATGATGTATTTCTCAAAAGACGTTCTCAGTTAATCAAAGACATGGGACTGTGTTTCGAATTACTGGCTTCCATTTCCATGTAAGATATCCCTGTCAATATTCCCACTCAGCTGTGTCCCTTCAGAGGAAGGCCAGGAACAGCCAAGTGCCTGGCTGTGATGGCGTGACCCTTAACAGCCATTCCCCATGGCCTACCAGTCACTGGTGGCCAAGAAGCTGTGCAGATCCAAGAGCGAGCAAGCTAAGGCATGAGTGTGGCTGCACTCCCTCCCCGGCTGTATCTCCGGCCATAGCGATGTGCCCAGCAGTGAAGTATCAGATCACAGCGTAAGTGGGCAGTAGCTTGCATGTGGTAGGTCCAAGAGTGGCAGACATCAGCTTCTAGAGGTAGCCCCAGCCGCTGGCGTCTGTGGGTGTTCACAGAATGGGGCAAGCCCACCGGGTCCCCGTGGACACGGTGTCTGTGGGTGTTCACAGAATGGGGCAAGCCCACCGGGTCCCCGTGGACACGGTGTCTGTGGG